TATGAAAAAAATATGGAGAGTTTTGTTGTGCAAACTTCTTAATCCTTTAAATAACTTGAATGAAATAGCCATTATGAAAATTATCTATATTTGTTCACAATACTCTTGTAGGGCATATTTTTCATCGACATTTTTTTAAGGAATATGTCAGTATTCTGAAACTTGTGTTATAAGCAATTGGAATTCACGTTCTTAGGCTTTCAAAGCATAACCTTGTCTATTTTTTTTGATGTAAGCAATTACGATTATTTTGCTGCAGAACGGGTTCTCTAGCAATCAAATTATTACTTACTATAGCAAACAGTGTTTTTTTACAGGGTACTGTGACTCCCAGACCAGGATTAAAAAACAAGCTAGTTATTAGCACTAATCATTAAGTTATAGAATATAAAGACAATAAAAATATTTTGTTGATTAAAAACACAGATACTGTTTCTCAAAGCATTCAGAATGTACAGATGTTTTTTAAAAAAAGTTATNAAAATCATAAAATTATTTGCCTAATTTTATTTATTAATTTTATTTACTAAAATATTTGTCTTTTTAAGTTAAAATTTAAATTGCAGCTTTGGCACTAAAAAAAAATTGAGCAATTCACCCAGAAAGTAAATTGTGTTTTTTTGCTGTCTGCAAAATATTTGATTATGTGAAGAGTAAATCGTATTGATTAAGCAAGTATTTGGTTATTATCAATGGTTTGCAGTAGATAATCCAAAAAATGGTTGGAAAATGTAATCTGCATCTCATTCTATCATGTTAAAAGAAAGAAAAACTGATCACTGCAGAAAACGTGGAAAGAACTATCTTGCAGGCATTGTTCGAACACTGTACTAACAAAAATTAAACGGTATATGATAAGATATAATTTCATCTGTAAAAAGGGACTTACTGTAAAACGGGAAAACTTACGGGAAGGATAAGAGTTTGAGTAATTGACGTAAACTGCCAGCCCTTCTCTTTGTTCGTCCTCCCCTTAACTCCAAAATTTCGAAAACATCGATTTTTTTTTATTGCTTATAATAAAACTTCAAACTATTTCAAATGAACCGAAAAAAATCCTCTCTCTATATACATTTTTTAAAAAGCTATGAAGGATTTTACATTGCTCTAAAACAGAAACTTGTTCAGAAGACAGACTTTAAAGTGCCTTTTCTCATAGATGATAATTATATGTTTTAATCTATTCTTAAGGAATTTTCTCTATTTTAGATAAAGCTTTGAAGTAAACTTTTTTATCTTAAGTATAATACATATATTTAACCTGTGCATGGAATAAGCATTTTATGAGGTATTATAATTTTTACAGCATGTTATGTATACCTAACTGGAATTTTTAACCTTTTTTTTAAACTTTTTTTTACAAAATATTCTATAAAAATGCTTTAATTGATATATCAACAAATGAATGCACACAATTGTTAAGAAGAATATTGTAAGCACTAAGTAAAAAAATTTTTTTCGAAAATATGTTAGAATAAAAAAAACCTTTGGATTTAAAAAAGGTGAATTTTTTCTATTTTTTTTAAAATTTTAGAATAATTAAACAGTTTAACTATTTTTTTGAAGATAAATGATTGATTATAAGTTAAATGAGCACGTAAAGCATTCCCAAATGATTATACCTTAATTTTAAACGAATGTTACACGGGTACTGTGACTCCCAGACCAGGATTAAAAAACAAGCTAGTTATTAGCACTAATCATTAAGTTATAGAATATAAAGACAATAAAAATATTTTGTTGATTAAAAACACAGATGCTGTTTCTCAAAGCATTCAGAATGTACAGATGTTTTTTAAAATACAGTTATAAAACTCATTAACCCATTGATAACATCGAGTGAAAAAAATAAATAATGTTTATCAATTATTTATATTCAAGGAGGGAGTATATATTTACCTTAATAAAATTTTTATCTTCGTCATTTAAGTGAAGCATGAAAATGACAAAATTTCCCTGCACAAACTGTTTGTTTGAAGGACCATTCACAAATTTGGACAAATTACCAAAAAGGGTAAACGCTGCAGCTCTGACTAAAGGTTTTTCCTGTAATGCATTTTAATATGTTAATAACAGCACACAAAAGCATTCAAAGGTAACGGAATAAATAAAAAGAATAAACAGAAATGTCTGGATATGAAAAGTCTTGCATAGTGACACATAAAATATAGTTTGTCTACGGTAAGAACTCCTCCCACCACAAAGTTTGAGGCTATGGAAACTAGAATAACACATTTCATTCCTTCTCTTCACTCTCAATAGACCGAAGAAAAAGATTCCTTTTCTCCTGCCAATCTGTGCCAAAACCTGCTCTAAACAGTGACCCCACACCCCTACTTGAAATAGTTATATCTCATAACCATAGCCACAGCCACGGGGGTCCAGATGAATGGCTAGGGGAGTTCTTACTTCAGACAAACTATACGTACAAACCATATGTTTCATGTTATATATATTTTCTCATGAATTCATTGAATCAAAGTAAATTTAATTCCTTTATTTTTGAACATTTTATAATTTTGTAGAAGATGGGTGTTGGAGTGAAGTGATTTAAAGAATGATAAATAAATATAATCTAATTAAATAACATTCATTGAAACATACGGAATAATATACAGTGAACTTT